CCAACATATGACAGATGCTCAATTGTCATTTATAAAATCAGTAAATAAGTTAATACAACCCAGTGTATTTTATTCTGAAAAGTATCTGCCCTTATATGTTTATAATTTAATAAAATATACTATACTATTCAAGCTTCCTAAACAATAAAATAGCTTCACTACAAAAGTCATCTTACATAAATGAGAACATGATTTAATGAAATGACATTTTATGAGCATTAGGCAAATCAAACATTTGAAATGTTTAGATTAAATGGCTCTTTTGTGTTTAGTAGTAAGCGTCACTAAGTGTGTCTATCTTGCTAATACAGCAGCATCATTATATTCTAAATTATACAATTTAATTACACATAACTTGAATTATATGCTGAAATTTTGTTAAGGTACAAGTATGACTTTTACATCAGCTCATTAATGTTTTTCCAAGTAATGTGACACACATAAAAAACTTAGTAAAATTATATGTTTTCCATTGGTTAAATAGAGAAAGAATTGACAGACCTGACTCTAACCCTCGTTCTGCCACTTACTGACTCTATAACCCTAGGCAAGATATTTGAGCAGTCCAAGATATACCAAGTCACGCTATAAAATAGAGTTTTTGAGAAGAGGGAGATAAGATAATTCACTTAAAATGTACCTCTCAGTTGTTAGCCTATATTACCTGTCCCTTCCTCCTCCTTTTCCACAAATACATGAACACATTGGCCTAAAGTAAATCATAGACAGCATAGCGTGAAATGCTAACCTGCATGAGCAGGGCTTGTTCCTGAGAAGCTGCCCCCAGGAGCATTCTGGTTCTTGGTGCCTCTGTCTGGGCCAGGAAGGTAGAGAAATAAGGAGGTAGGCTGAGCCCCTATCAGACAGGACATGCTCCTTTGGGTGGTTCCACAGAAGCTTCTCTCCACAACTCGGGCTGTATGAGACTAGCAGAGGAAAAGGAGAGATTGCTGTCAGAACTGTCCAAAGAACAGACATAGAGAAGGGGACTGGTATGTGGTGAGGACCATGTTTTCTTCAAGGGGAAACAGGCTACATATGGGTGAGTCTTTCAAAACATGAAAAAAGGACCAGTCCAGCCTTCAGGCTGAGCAGAAAAGAGAGCCAGGAATTGGAATATATGTCAAAGCAGAGTGGAGGGTTTCCCGATAGTGTCTTTTCTTCTGTACTTCCGTTTATTATAGCTCACCATTTATTTCATAGAATCTGAGATTGGGACATGTCCTGAGAGAGAATTTGACTCAATTTCCCTCTCCATGCAGAAATTTCCTTTGCTACATTCATAACCTTTGGGGCATTACCTTTGTGCAGAATTTAGTTTCTGTAGTAATCAGATTTTATAGAACAGCATGAAGGCAGAGAGTTTGGTTTTCAAGTCCCATGGAGATGGCCCTCCTTACTGTGTGTGCACATATGCTTGTCTCATCTCAGATTAGACCTCTGGATTTTCTGTCCCCTGGTGGTTCCGAAGGACAGCTCAGTCTTGACTCCTGGCGGGATTTAGTGCCAATGAATTGTGAAGGGAAAAGGAGTGATGGCTACGAGAAGGCTACTGGCTTGAGAAAAGCCTTTTTAAACTTTAATATTGTTGTTTAAGTAAAAATAACACTAAACAAAATATAGAAATATTCCAGAAAGCATGGCAGGGGTGCTGGGGTTATACTGTTTTGTTGACATGTGCTCTTTTCATGTTATGGTATAAGCATCGTCCTTCTCGTTGTGGGGGCTTCTACAGTGCAATTTCCAGTTGCACATCACGTTCTGTGGTGCAGCTCTGGAGTTGTGTAACTGGCCCCTTCCAGTTTCCTCTCACCTCCTCATGCTGGTCAGGGAAGCCGCCTCTGGGTATAAGTGTTTCTTAATCTGTCTTGACTTTCATCCAGCACATAAATGCTTGTCCCAATGCATTTGGAAGGGACAATGCAATTAGTGTGTTTCCTGGGAGTATCACAGAGGTGCTGTGTGTGGACTCCATCTTCCGGCTTTGTGTGGATGATATGTTAATTACACTCTGTCAAGCCACAAACTTCTATTCCCCAAGCTTCTCCTAGTAAGCGTAAGTGTTTGGGTTTCATGCTGCAAGGGAGGATAAGTCTAAATGGTCCCTTTACATCAGCCTCAGCTGCTGATTTTGGCTTCATTGAGTTGCTGCAGTCAAGGCCCAGGGCTTGGATTGGGCCAGAATGGGCTGCAGCAGACCATCAGCCTCACATCCTATGACAACTGACTCAAGCCTGAGGGTGGACCCAGAACTTCCTCTCCAAGAGAGTCAATCCTGCTCATGCATCAACACTTCCTCCCCGTTGGCTCTCTGCTGGCTCTGATCCAAATGGGGCATCATGCTGCTCTGTTGTTGCCCATGAAAAGTGGCAGCAGGGCCTGGAAGTAGAAGGCAAACACTTGTAATGGGATTCTAGGGGCACCTCCTTGACTTGATGCTTTAAGAAGGACAGAAAGAATAGGGGATTGAATCACGTTACAGAATTTTGTGAATCTGTTTGGATCCAACTGGTTTGACATGGGTTATTCTGCTCTCTAAGGGATGGTCACACCACACACACACCCATACACCCCCAATCCCCCACCCCCACTGCCCCCCCCACACCTACACCCCTCCTAACCCTTTAATATAAATCCTAGTCAATAAGACTCCACCTCCTGGTTTGACTTCTGAGTCTCCAACTCTCCATCTCATGTGGTCCCAACTGAACTGCAGGCTGTAAAGCCAACCTCAGTACTTTGTCCTTAACCTTGATTCTAATAACCTTTCCCTTTTCCCTATGCACACCTACACCCTTGATTTTCAATCTCTTCCTTCATCTTGCTTCCTCCAGTGTCTGCTAGATATGACTGCTGATTTCTCTGGGTCCCTGGGTGTCAGGCTACTTGGAGTTTACACGTGGAAGAATGCCTTTCTTCTCTTCTTGGTGAGGCTCTCGTCACTTGGCCTTACCCAGTGCTACTTGCATACCGGGTATCATGGTGGCAGGGACCAGGTTTTACCCTGTGACTTTAGAGGCAGTGGATGGGGACACACAGGAGCCAGAGCAGGAAGGGAAAATGAAGTCAGACACATACATGATGACCGATAACATCTATTGATTTTCACCGTTAGTTCTCTCTCCCTCTTAAGAACAGACGTTGTCTCCTAGCTGCAGAGATGTGCTCCTGACCCAGGCCTAGTTAATCATCTGCCCTTTCTCTGGACAGAGCCATCAGCTGGGGGCTGGGTGTCAGACACATTCAGAGTTAATCAGAGTCTGTGGCTGGGATTAATTTATAGATGTCAGGAGAGAAAAGCTCTTCCTTTCTATTGGGTTTGCTAAGCAAGGGCTGCTGGCGGCCATGTTGTATTTCCTGTGGAAGAACACAGCAATGACAACCAGGGGTAAAGGACATGGGAGGAAAGACAAGAGTCACTGTGGAGGCACCAAACACTAGCACTGTCCTTGAAACCAGGGTCCTTTTTATTGCTACTTCATTTAAGTGGAAATCCTCAGCATCTTTCTCAACAATGAGAGCCAGTTATTCTCCTATCTTTCCAAGCCAGTTTATGATGGGTTCTGATATACATGGCCAAAAGGGCCCTGACTAATGTACTTTCTGATGCCAGCAGGTGCCAACTTGATTTGTGAATACAGAAGAGATGTCCCTTTAGGGAGTTTAGGAAATAAATAGCACGAGGACACTTTGAGAAAGATGCATGTCCTATAGGCAAGTGGAGAATATCTTCTGCCATAGTAATTTGAATTCTAAAAGGGAAGGATGACCTTGTTTTATAATCATAGACTAGTGAAGCGAGGAATGTATAGACTCTACTCTCAAAAATCTCTTATCCCGGTTGGCTCCTAGCTGGATTTTTCCACACCCATCCCCTGAGCTGGACATGCCCTTTACCTCCCCGATACTCTTCAAAGAGAAGTTACTGAGAGAACATTGTGAGGCTTTAGTGGTCGGATGAAGGTAGAAGAGAAGGAGAGATAAAGGCTAATGTCAAGACTTGAGGTTGGGGAGGTAGGTGTTCAGTGAGGCCATGAAGCTAGGTAAAAAACTGAGCTAAACACAGTGGCACATGTCTGTAACAACTCGAGATGCAGAAGTAGAAGGATCACAAGTTCAAAGCCAGCCTTAGCAACTTAGGTTGTTTCAAAAAATAAAAAGGACTAGGGATGTGACTCGGTGTTTAAGTGCCCCTGGCTTCAATCCCAAGTAAAAAAAAAAAAAGAAAAAAAAACATTGAGGAAGAAGAGAGTATAAGAGAGAAATACATATTATATAGATGGTATATGAAGAATACTGGAATCCTCTATTCCTGCCATATTGAGATGTGCTTAAAAATATATCTAAAACTAGAGAAAGGACTTAAGAACACAGATGTACATGGAATCGAAACCCCAAGGGTCGAATAATCTTACATGAGAAGATGGCCACATTTAGATTTCTAGGCCTGCTGTAGAAATTGCCACAGGCTGGCTGGCATAAAATAAACAGTTTAGCATCTCAGAACTCGGGAGGCTAGAAATCCAAAATGAAGGTGTCCCCTCACTCCTTCTGAAAACTCTAAATAAATCTTCTTCCTTGACCTTTCTAGTTTCCAGTGGTTGTTGGCAATCCTTGGCATTCCTTGGCTTCTAATGGTATCATCCAATCTGTTTCCATAGTGCCCTGGCTTTTTTTCTGCAAGTCTGTTTGAGGGCTCTTTCTCCTCATATTCTTTATAAGAATACCAGTCACCTTGGATTTAAGACCCACAGGTTCCAGTATGACCTTAACTCAACTCATTAAACATCTACCAAGATCTTGGTTCCAGATAAGGTCATGTTCTGAGGGGACATGAATCTGAGCTGGCCAGGTTGGCAATATGAATTGGGTTCCAAGGAGCTGGCTGTATCAATAACTAAGAAAACAGTGTAGAAACCATGCAGCACATGAACATAAGTTTCTAAGGCAGGATGGTGCGGCTAGGTCAGCTCCAGCACTGGAAAAAGCAAGAGGGTGAGCCCACCCAAAACCTTTTATTTACTGGGGAAAAGACATTCAAGAAGGTTCTACTCAAATAAGGCAAGGGATTGGGTTTCAGAGGTTGTCCATTCCCATAAGGTAATGTCCAGGTAAGGCTTGAAGCGGGATTCATTGCTGAGGCAGGGTAAAGGCCGCTTGCCCTGAACAGTTTCCATGTGTGTGCCAGTCCAGGACCCCCATCGCTCCAGGCAGGGGGAGCAAGCTCAGCCCAGGGTTGATGGGTGGCTCTCCACGGTGTGATATCCTTTAATCCAGTAAAATAGTGAAGAATCTAAGCCAGCAGGCAGCAGCATGAGGAGCATCATCATCCTGGTGGTTAAAAGGGGGAGAGCCTGAAGAGAAATGAAAGGGAGAGAGAGGAAGAAGAAATATGTCAGAGAGAGAGAAAGAGAAAGGGAAGGCACATGCAAGATCCTGCTGCTGTGAAGGAGTGTGGAATGTAAATGGGTCACTGCATGTGCCCATCAGAGTCCTGGTAACCACAGTAGGGTGACCAACCACAGAAATCTGTAGATGACCAGAAGGGCAGTCCAGAAGGCAGGACTTTCAGTGCTGCAACTGGAGAGTCCCAGATAGAGAAGGAAGTCGGCTGCCTTACCTGGGCACTAGCAGGGCTGAGACTTAATGGGTCAGGGAGTGAGTAAGCATGTATACTTGTTTGGGATGGAGCTGTGCCTCTCATTGTGGTTGCACTGTTTTTCTGGCATTTGGAATGTTCTTGCTTAGGATGTAGACTTGGGTTTTTAGTCCAAAGTACCATGTTCCGGCAAAGGCCAGCTCACTCCCTAGTCATCTGACATCATAGAACAACTGAATTCTAGAAGTCTGAGGTGTCCCTCCAACACTGTGAAAGCTCCTCCAACCCTCCTTGCCTGGCAGGCGCTCTTAGGGTATGCTGCAGGTTCTCTCTGAAAACCAAGTATGAACTTGGTTTTGAGAGATAACCTGTCTCTACTGAATGCGATAGCTGTTTTGTGCAGCCTTCAGAGCACTTATCTTGAAAGCATTCAGCATGAGGCAAAAACCTCAAGTTTTTTTTTTTTCCCTTAAAAAGAAGCCATTGGGATGTCTGCCTCCATCCAGACCTTTGGATGTGTGATTTCATTATTCATGGTCGGTGCTCCTCTTCAGCTTTTGATCTGCAGTTTACAGGATGTGTGCAGAAGGAGGTTCTCTTTTCCATATACTGATTCTTTACCCTCTCAGCCCAGAATAACTTTCCATTTATTCCTCTGATAAAGCGTCGATGCCGTGAGCCAGCATATATTAAGTCTGTCATGATACAAACAGTGCTAGACTTGCCCAGCCCCAAGAGAAAAGCCAGACCCCTGTCAGGGCACCCCAGTGTTTGCTGGCGAGGAATGGCAAAGGCGACCTGTGGAATTTTTCACAGCCATCCAATCTGGAGAAGGAGTTTTTCTGAGAACAATTTGCAGGTCTATCAACAACCTTCCACTTTATGATTAGCTTGGCCAGGTAGTTAAATAATCTCAGCATTGACTTACAAATAAGTACTTTTAAATACACACCAAAGAAACCATTCAATTAAAATTCTTCCATGGCTTCCTACTTTCTTCTGTGAAGAGCCATGCTGTGAACTTGGTTTCTAGCTTTTCTAGCCTTGCCTTGGCCCGGGTCCCTGTTCTACCTGCGCTTGGTTTTGCCATTGACTTCAACGCCTCAGGTGTGAGGCTTCCCTTTTGCCACTTCCTCTGAGTTAATATTCTCTACTCTCCTTTACTCTCTTACCTCCTTCTCATGCTTCTTTCATCATCTCAGTGATCATGTTCTCAGGAAATGGGAACATTCCTGAGCTCCTCTGTTTGTAGCTACCTGCTCACCCTGATGCCTGGGTTAGGTTAGGGTCCTTTATTTGCTCACAGAGAGCTTCTACCAGCTCAAGATTGGCTGGAGACAAGCACCACCAGTCTCAGGTAGGTGAATGAGGATTCACAGACCCTGTGACACTCGGCCTCCAAGGCTCAACTCCAAGTTCACGAACTATCCTTTCTCTCCCTGGAATTCACAGGTATGTGATGTTGATGAACCTATATACTTCTTCTAAAACAATTATTTATTTATTAGACATAGACAACCATCCCCTATCTATATTTCTAGATTGTAAGTCCTTTCAGAATAGCAAGATATGGTGTTTATCTCACCTTTTAGTTCCCCCAAATGCTTAATCCTATGCTCACAGATAGGGATGCTCAATAAAATTTATTGAATTAATTTAATAAATATTTTTGAAAGCATTTTTCTCACGTATTTCTGAGAAATATGGGAATCTTCATCTCTGGCCATCAATAATACTTTTAGAAAAATCTAATTTCCAATGGCTTTGTTAATAATGTAATTGCAAAGCAAAGGCATTTGTCTAAATATGTGTAAGACTGTGATACTTTTGATCCCATAAAGACTCAATTCCATTCAGTTAATTCAGCAAGTGTTAATTAAGTGCCTATGATGTCCAGGGCCCCCACTGTGGCAGTAGAAATCTTCATTTCAGTGGGAAAATTTGGGATGTAAAGTCTAAACACGTTTGGACTCTCAAATCCGACTTCGGTAATGGCAAAAACAATTCTCCCATTTTTATACTACAGCTGTTTGTTTGATGGATCATTCATTCAACAAAACCTTATTGGACACTTATTATATATGGTTATGACTCTTCTGGATTAAGTATTTTGGAAGGAGCAATACAAAAGAAGAGATTGTACTTGTCCTTGACCAGTTGGAAGGAAAGTTCAGTGGATGAGGCACCTGGCAACAGGAGAACTGAGTTTGGTTTCCTGTCCCTGCTCTGTCACTAAGTAACAGAATGAACTTAAGTCACTCCAAAGTTCTGGACCTCAATTTGTTGTCTATATAGTGAGGGCATTAGACTGGAGGATACTAAAATGATATTTGGAATTAGAGGCCTGTTCACTTCATGGCAGTGGAGAGCAAGGAGAGTGAAGGAGGAGGGGCTGGGGTTCCACATGCTCCCAATGACCTAACTTCCTTCCACTAAGCTCCACCTTCTAAAGGTTCTACCATGTCCCAGCCTTTAACACATAGGCCTTTGGGGGAGACTGGAGATGCAAACTAGCAGGGGTTATACTTATGACAGTTAAAAGGGTGAGCAGGGAGGGTGGGATGGGAAAAAAGTCTTCAGGCTATGATGTAGATTTCATACCTGTGAAATGAAATGGGGAAGGAAGTGAGATTGGAAGCTTCAGAGAAAAGACAGCTCCTTAGAGGAGCCCTACCTTGGGCAGATAAAGCCAGGTCCTTGTATGCCTGTTGTCCTCACTGTTGACTAGAATCTTAGAGTATGACCTCAGCTCCAAAGCTGAGGGAAACAACTCTTCTCACAAATTCTTTCTTGAAGGGAGACCTGCCTGGGGCACCTTCGTGACTGACAAGGGTCTGGCTCAGCTGTTTTCTTGGTGTGTCTATCTGTCTCTCTGTCTTTCTCTTTCTCATTAGTTTGGTGGCCACCTTGAGGTGATTCATAACAGGAGGCTGGTTGGGGAGGCCCCATGTGTGTCAGGCCCCTGCCAGCAGGTTTGCCCTTTTTGCCTGACAAAGAATGCATGAATGACAGGAGTTTGGGAACTTGGTGTCTGGTCCAGACAGTCATTGCTTGTTATATCCACCCTCCTTGCTTCTCGGTCCAGCAAATCTCCAAATTATGGAACTCTCGTCAACCTGGATCTTGGACTACCAACAGAGAACAACTCAGAACAACTCATCTCCTTACCCCTCCCTATTGACAGATCTTCTCTGACTTATGTGCATCTTTTTTTTTCTTATAGTATTTTGCCAAAAGTTGCAAGAAGTAACCCACATAACATCCTAAATGCTGAGCTTCCCTCAACACTACAGCTCCAGCAGACATGCGATTTGAATCTCAAGGCATGACAAGCAAGAGTCTGAAAAAAATGTCTTGCCACCACCTACTAGGAATGCTACCAACACACCTGTCTATAATTGTTGGGTTCTCATTGCCCTCTGCCCTACCACCTCAAATCACCCATTCTATGTTTTTCTTACTATAGTTATGCTGCTGTATATATTATAACTAGATTTGAGAGAATGTGTTTAGCTATAAGTTACAGGGGTTTGAACTATGAAATTGTTTTTATTTACGCAACAAGAAGTCTAGATATAGGTAGTTTCAGGGTAAGTTTAGCTTTTTCAAAACATCAAGTCTTATCTGTCAGTTTTTGACATTCTCCTCATGGTTACAAGATGGTTGCCACAACTCCAGGCACCATATTTTGTACAATCATGTCCAAAGGGAGAAAGGAGCATTACATAAGAGTGTTCTCTTTGTGTGCCTCCTTACTTTGATCAAGGAGCATAAATCCTTCCCAGAGGCCTACAAACATAGCTATTACACTCCATTCCCTTGTAAAGGAACAGGAGCCTCTAGCATTTTTACTCTTAACAGTGGGAGGAGGGGAAATGAGGAGGGGGACTTGTAGCACAGCCAGACAGCAGTGTTTGCCGTGGGATCATGCCTATTGATCTCAGTCCTTCAACCTCCAAGTTGAAAATAGATAAACCATCTGTTTTCTCTTCCTGGAGAGTAGCAGGTTATGAATAAATTATGCTGTCAGAGCCCAGAGAGTCCTTAAAACAAAGTACTGTCAATCCCAGGCCCTCGTTTCATTAAATCCATATTAGATTCTATTGCTCATTTGATGGCATCTGATTATTCCCTAGAATGGGAAGCACAGGCAGGATGGGAGAAAGGGGGTACCTTGCTACCCCCTCCTTTCCCCAGTGCTGAATAATCACAAGCCCCCCCTCTCCCCCTCCAGGAACTCTAATTATTTCTGGGGAACCAGTGAGCTGAGTGAACAAATCCAGGGCAGGGGGATAGATGTGTTCCAGAAATCTTTGTGCTGGAATATTCGAGAATGCCTTTGGGAGAAGATGCATTACGGATGGAGCAAATTTAGCTACCAGTGAGGAAATTGGCGTCCTAGGGAACGCTGTGCTTCCTGATGCCCCTGAAACTATACCTTTGTAAAGGTTTCTGCCTATAACATGATTATCTCGGTATAATTTTATCTTCCTATTTTTTAAAAAAATCTCAGAATTCTTAAAAGCATTTAAAGAAAATTTCCTTTGACTTCTGGAAGAGTCTTCCTCTAGAAGCAGTCCTGGCTGGCGACTGGCCGTGGTTTAAACCAGAAAGCTTGTC